TTCCTGGGAGGACACCAGTGTCTGTAGCAACTGACGGGGCAGCGTGCATCAGAAAGATGGCCTTTGTCTCCCTGGTGCCCACTCAGCCTCCTCTGGAGTCTTAGGATCTCTGAGTCGGGTCACACAGGTCATCCTGTCTCATCAACACTATTGCTGGACTCCCTCCTAGAACACTGGACTTCTGCTTATGCATCTTTCATAGGGAACACTGCACACCCTTCCTGGGATGATCACTACAGCTATGCACAGACAATCATTATTATGAGGCGCTCAACATCTGCCTTCTGGCCACGTCCCTGTCCAGAATCAGGAGCCATTGGGACTGTCCTCATTTCTTGTGATTTCAGTGGCAGCCCTGAGTATTTGCTGGAGCTGACCCCTTGCACTCTAAACCTCTGCATCTCCAGGGTAAACATCTCCAACTCTGTCCACTGCTTCTTATGTAACTAACTTGAGCTGACAGTGTCATTCACCTACATCTTCCTAAGCATGCTGACTCATTAGACTGTTCTTCCAGTGCACCACCCAGAAATAAATACTACAGACAAACTAGTTCCAGGGAACAGCAGCCCATAGGCGTGCCATTCTAACTAGACATTAGACAGTTTTTGCTACTTTTCCCATATCACCTAGGCCTCAATAATGCAGTTTGTGTGACATGGTCCCTAGATTTCAGTCAGTTCTTAAGTATTATGTTGACAGATATAGTACCCACATTTAATCTGGATATGCCATTTGAACATTACTTTGATTTTTAAATTTCTCATAATCTCTTTACCAGTCAAGTAAAATTGTTAAGTCAAAGACCCTAGGGACTCCATAGCTAGGGCTGGACCAGATAGTAGGATGCTTCTGATGAGTCTGGAAGCTGATACCAAACCATAAATACAGGCAGCTATGTGTTTCTCAACCATGACCAACCCCTAGTCTTTTTTCTTTGGGAAAGCACATGATCTGACATCAGGGCTGTTCTCCATGTCTCAGGAGACATGTCCTTACCATTCTGTGACTGAAAAGCATGATAGGGCTCTAAGGGGAACTATAAATTCCTCCCCAGACTCTTCAAACATGACGACTGGTTTCAAGACAAGTGAACAGAGGTAATCCAGCCAGAGGCAATGCTGCAGAATTAGGAAGAAGAGAAGGTCTCCATCTACCGAGATCTGTACTGCTAACATGCAAGCACCAAGTTTCCTCTATGTAGGACCAGTCAGACTGAGAGAAACCAATCTACCAAAGAGATAAAGACCCAGCCACAAAAACATCATCTAAGCAACCTGGTCCAAACTTGCCTGCAGCCTAGACTATCTTTAAACCCATTCACTGTACTGGCCACCCGTGTTAGTTGCTTTTCTTCTTGTTGTGACCAAAATGTGACAAAAGCAGCTTAAGGAACAAATGGCTTACTGAGGATGCAGTCCACCATGGCAGGGAAGGCACAGTGGCAGGAGTGTGAGGCAGCTGCTCACCTTGCATAAACAGGAAGCGGAGAGAGATGAATACTGGTTCTCATCTTGCTTTCTCCTTTTTATTCAGCCCAGGACCCCAGCTCATAGGATGGTGCCATCCATATTTAGGCTGTCCCTTAATTAATGCAGCCTAGAAACCTCCACACAGGCATGTCCAAGAGGTTTGTCCCCTAGGTGATTTCCGATCTTATCAAGTTGGTAATCAACATTAACTATCATAATACTAGATCCCGTCCCCGCCTTTGTTTTAACCAAAATCACTTTGGACTGATTTCTGTAACTGAGTACAAATCAAAGTTCTACAATGGTCTTCCTCAGCTTTCGACCTTGAATACTACAGTACTAACTTGCTAGGCAAGAGGCGCTTACTGGCACAACATTCTGTTTGGATCTGAGGCCTGCTCTATAGGAAGGAGTTCATGCCCAGTACTGTGGACCTGGTCAAGACCCATGGGTGAGAAGGTCAAAAGCACTAGGGGCAAGTCTACTACTTTGTCTTGCTAATTAGACATGTTGTCAAATTGCCTCTTCTGTTTATATCCACAGGCTGTCCTCAGCCTTGATCAAAGAAGCTTCTCTTTGCAGTGAAAGGCAGAGATGGTACAGACTCAGGGGTGCTGAGAACAAGTGACCACTAACTGCTCAGCACTAAACGTGATACCCATATCCCCCCTCCAAAGCTAACAGAACATCTTGGAAGAGGGGGTAGAAAGAATGTAAGAGCTGATTGAAAGGAAAAAGGGATGTGACATGCTTCTTATGGTCATGACATAGTCATGACACTCATGAACTCACAACAGCTGAGGTTGCCTACACAGGGCACACATAAGACTGAACTGGTAAACATTCAGTCATAGATGGGGGACGGCTCCTGGGGCTCAGCCCAGTGGGGCTAATTGTGGACAAAGGCTGCTAGAGGAGAAGTCAGTCTTCAGTGATACAGTCATCACTGAAGGCTCCAGGGGGCAGCCTCACATCCATGCTCCTGGGAGCAGGTAACCCAGTAGGTTACAAGGAAAACCAAAACAAAACCAAAAGACAGGGATGTGGGATGGACAACTTGATGGGAGTTGGCTGGGGTGAAACAAGGACAGAGAGGGTGCAGGGTTCAGGATGACAATGATGAATTATACACATGTGCAAAATTGTTAAAGAATAAAACAAAGTCTAAAACCTCCCTGTAGAAAGATCATGTGACACTTAGTCAAATCTCTTGCTCAAAATCTAATGCCTCCCTGAAGCCCCAATCTACCATATGATATCAGAATAAAGCCTTAAGCTCTTGAGCCTAAGCTTGGAGACCTAGGGATGATCAGAGATGCTTTTGTGTTGCCCACTCCCCTTCTGGACTACAGGGATATTAACTGCACTATCAGAGGTCACTGTACAGAAAGACTATACAAGGTCTGGCACACAGAAATGATAATTCTGGTTGTTTACACCATCAGTCCCACCTTTGCCATTGTTGATATTGTTATGCTATTTTTATGAGGGCTGGAGAGATGGCTCAGAGACAAAAAGCACTGGCAGTTTTTGCAGAGGACCTGGGTTCGGTTCCCAACACCCACATGGTGGCTAACAACCATACATATCTCTAGTTCCAGGGGATTTGACACTCTCTTCTGACCTCCACGGGCAGTGCATGACACAGGTGCACTTATATATATGCGGCAATACTCCACTCATAAGCACAAAATAAAAAATAAAAAGTTTTTATTAATTGACAATTTCTTACATGTATACCAATGTATCTTGATCATATCCACCCCAATATCCCCTCCTGTTCTCCCCAGTCTGTTATGTATTATGATTGGCAGTTTTCATACACTGCTAAAAACCTATGCTTTGCCTTCTGTCACTATTTTTCTTCCATTTGGTTTGGTGTGGTGTGGTGTGGTATGGTGTGGTCTGGTGTGGTTTGGGGTGGTGTGGTGTGGTTTGGTGTGGTCTGGTGTGGTTTGTTGTGGTGTGGTGTGGTATGGTGTGGTTTGGTGTAATGTGGTGTGGTTTGGTGTGGTTTGGTGTGGTATGGTGTGGTATGGTATGGTGTGGTCTGGTATAGTGTGGTGTGGTTTGGTGTGGTATGGTATGGTATGGTATGATGTGGCATGGTGTGGTTTGCTGTGCTATGCTCTGGTTTTGGACAGGGTCCCACGATATAGACCAAACTGTGCTAGAACTCAAAATCTTTCTGCCTCAGGCTCCAGAATGCTGGGTCTTTAGACATGGTCACTACGCCCAGTCATGTTTTCACTCCTGAAGGTGGACTAGCACTAGGTGTCTACCTCCTTTCGTAGGGGCCCCTCCCCTGTCATCTCCAATGATTAAACTTCCTTATATCTCTGCTAGGATCACCCTCAACTCACTGTCCTTCCTCTGACCCCTCTGCAGAAATGAGCCACAGGGTACTGGAGTGCAATTCACTCTAACTTGGGTGAAGGCTCTGACCAGTCTAGACCAGGGATGTCACTAAGGGTCAGGTACAGTGACGAGGGTGTGACACTGGGCTCCTACTCTGGGCTAGGGATCAGGAATCACCACTGCTTGGCAAGTGCAAAGTTTCACCTTGTTTCTATTCAGTCTAGCTAACTCAAGGAAAGCACAGAAATTGAAGGGGAGCTCCTAATTAAAAGGTAGCCTTGAGGTGTCAATAAAATTATGTATAAAGGAAATGTTTAAAAACACAGGAGCAACTTTGTTGAGACAGATTGTCATCAAAGTTTTTTTTTTAATTTAAGTATGAAGCAAATTTAAAAAAAGAAGTATGTACATCTACACCTCCATTGCTTCCCTCCCTCAAGCTGGGACACCATCTCTGATAAGCATAACACGACACCACATTTGAAATCACTAGCTAAAAAAGTAGACTTGTCTTTCCTATACATTTCTGGAAAGTGGCAGGGACATCATTTGCATTTCTTTGTTTGGGGAGAGCATCCCCAATCTCTCTCAGTGTGACCAATGACCTTTCATCCCCAGCCTTAGCCTGACAACTCCTACAAACCTCTCCCCCAGCACCCTGCCCCCTCTATCATGACACACATCCCCACCGCGTAATTATTTGCTAACCATCTGTCTCCCCCCACGAGACGGTGAATGTCCAGATCTGTTATCTGCTTCTTCTCACCATTAGGATTAGTACAGATGTTGAACAGTAAGGAAATGTTGAATGTGCAAATTGCAACTCTGGCTTTAGGAACAGCTCAAGTTCTCCAAGGCTAAACCTTCTTCCTTGTGTTGACACAGGGACCCATCTGGCCAAACAGGCTTTGGATCATTTGGTTACCCACTACCCTTCTACTGCAGCCACTTGCACCTTACTTTATTCTTATCTTTCTTTTTTTATTCCTTACCTTGCTGACATCCTCCAACTACCTAAGGGATGCTAGAAGTCATTTCTTATCATGAAGCATCAACAGCCCAATATGTTACTCAAGGAACACTGGTGATCAGGGGCCCCTGAAGCTCTGTCTAGGAATCTGTGGCAGCTGACATTCCCTTGCCTCCCCTCTCACTCCGGTTTTCATTCTTACCTTCAAAGCTCCCAGCAAACAAGTAAATCCAGGTGATGGCTGGGATGCAGAGCAGAGTCAAAGAGGCAGCCAGGAATTTCCGTCTCCCTCTGCAGATTCCCAGCATCCTCTCAGAAGTGGCAATCTCTAATTGTCGCGCTGTGTCTCTGTCCAGAGCATGAAGTCCTCAGTCTCCCTCATAATACTTTCTGCAGGTAAAAACAAAAAGTAAGGGCTGAATCCTCATCATAATGAGCAGATGGAGGCTAACTAGAAAACAAATAGCTCAGAGACCCAGAAGGCAGATTCCCTGGACCAGGGCTCCTGCCATCTTTTACTGCAAGAGAGACAGGTGATGCTACAATCTTGTGTGTAACAAAACCCAGAGTATTAAAGAAATAAATAATGAAATCTGCAAGAGATCTCTCTCTGTCTCTATCGGTCTGTCTCTCTCTGTCTCTCTGTGTCTGTCTCTGTCTCTGTCTCTCTCACACACACACACACTTTAAAGGAGCATTTGGTTAGCATTTATTATAAACAATGTTATATAGGTGTTAGTGTTATGCTATCAAAACCAGAACATAGTGTGACTTCAAAGAACAGTGTCCTGAGTGGCATACACAGGATCCCTAAAAATAGCTAAGATTCATTTATATAGACCACTGAAGAAGGGAGGATGAAGGTGCTAGCTGGTCCATGTCTGGCCAACATGGCATATGGAACTTGTATTCCAGACTATAAAGGGCACCCGAAGCAGGATGGCGACCACATGCAGGATAGGAGTTTGGTAAGGTCATGACATAATCTAATGAGACTGAACTGGAGTCTAATGTGTCTACAGGAATTGTCTTCATAGCTCTCCCTATAGTCCATCCAGAGAAGATAAAAGTAACGAAAATGTAGACAATATGTAGAGAACGGACAGGAAAGAACATTAGCCTATAATCAGCCTAAAGAGAGGGATAGATAGTTCTTAAACCCAAGACAGAATGGCAGAGAAACAGAGAGAAAGTTGACAGGGATGAAGGACAGAGTCCATGATACTTCCCCTGAATCAATCAATAGCACTTGCTCTCTCTTGCGCACACACTCTCTCTCTCTCTCTGTCTCTCTCTCTCCCCAAGTACTTTTTTTTTTTTTAAAAAAGATCATTACGCCTCATTTCTAACTGTCCATAGATGTCAGATGACACGTGTCAGATGGCAATGGACAGAGAGGTAAATCCAGGTGGAAGTAGACCACCCACACTAGGTATCTGAAACCCAAGACAGAATGGCAGAGAAACAGAGAGAAAGTTGACAGGGATGAAGGAGAGAGTCCATGATACTTCCCCTGAATCAATCAATAGCACTTGCTCTCTCTTGTGCACACACTCTCTCTCTCTCTGTCTCTCTCTCTCTCCAAGTACTTTTTTTTTAAAAAAGATCATTACACCTCATTTCTAACTGTCCATAGATGTCACCCAAGACAGAATGGCAGAGAAACAGAGAGAAAGTTGACAGGGATGAAGGAGAGAGTCCATGATACTTCCCCTGAATCAATCAATAGCACTTGCTCTCTCTTGTGCACACACTCTCTCTCTCTCTGTCTCTCTCTCTCTCCAAGTACTTTTTTTTTAAAAAAGATCATTACACCTCATTTCTAACTGTCCATAGATGTCAGATGACACGTGTCAGATGGCAACGGACAGAGAGGTAAATCCAGGTGGAAGTAGACCACCCACACTAGGCATCTACAAAAGGCTTCAGATTTCCAAAGAACAGCTGTCCATGGCAGCCAGTCTGGGTGTCCCCTGCTATATCCCCAGGGCAGCCTCTGTCACAGTGTTGATACTTCCTGTGATGGGGGTCAAATTGGGTTCCCTCCTTTTCTACAAGCTGTGGAGTCTCCATAATTCAAAGTAGGAATACCCCACTCCATCAGGGCCTTCTTGCATTCCCTGACGGCATCCTGCTGGTCAACCATAGCAGAGGCAACCCTCCCAAGCTTCAGGCCTGTGTTCACCAAGTTGCCAGTAATGACGACCTAAGGAGCCAAGCTCAGCTGTCAAAGCTGGGCTTTCATGTGTAGCCATTTGAACCAGCATTTTCTAAATGGCTTGTCTGAAGCAGATGGAGGACCACAGGACTGGAGGGTATGGATGAGAAAGTAAAAGACTAAAACAGCAAAATCCTTTTGATCACAGAAAGTGGACTTGAGAAAAGGCTCCCCTGGGAAAACTTTTCATTCCCAAGCCTGGGGAAAAGACCTTGCACAGAAACTTTACTAGTTCTGGGAATGAAAGCCACCAAAACTTGGACATCGTTTTAGGAGAAGGAGGGCAGTAAGTGGAGGGGTGCTATTAGATCTGAGTTCAAATCCAGATGGTATCCACTCAGCTATAAATTGAAGTTGTGCTGTAGATGAAGTTAGATTTCAGTGGAAGGCAGGAGGATGGAACACAAACTCAACTGACATCAGCATCTTAAAAACACTTTTGAAACACACAAAACATTTATTTTCCTCCATTCTTCTCTCCATCTGCAGAAGGTGATTTCAATGGGCATGCTTTGTACAAAGTTTTAAACCAGTCTATGGTGGTTTGCCCTTCATGATTACATTGGCACCAGCAATTAAACCCAGCAGGTGAAAAATATTCCTTTATGAGTTTGACTTTTTAAGGACACCTCTGTGTGCACTAAAATCCCATTCTTAAGGTAAAACCTCAATCTGTATCAAAAGATACTATAGAAAATTAACACAGAATTCAACACAAGGACAGAAGACACAGGAAATGGGCTGAAATGACTTTCTAAACACACTCATAAATATGTTAACCAGGAAAAACAGCCCCAGTCCAGCGCCCCCTCCCCAAACTGCTGCTGGATGAGAGAAAAGCTCCCAATCTGTTAACCCAGGTGTCCAAGTCACAGCTAAAGGTCCCCACCCTTGATTCCAACATCCAATTCCTTGGCCAAGATGGTCAAAGCCTCTTCCACGTAGCTATTCCATATGACTTCTCCCATGCACTTAATCAATGAGATTCACTTCGTGAAGACTATAAGCAAAAATTATCATCACCTGTTAAGTCATATATCCAAAGCTCAATGTTTAATTCAATCACAAGCACCCTTTAGTCCAAAGGAACAAGCTTGATACAGTTAGGCAAATATCTATCCACCCATCTGTCCAGCCAACCAGCCACCTGTCTATCTATCCATCCAAAGTATATATGAATATAATGAACTATATAATATAAACATCCAAAATAAACAAAATGATATATATATATGTTTCATATATGTCAAAAAACGTTTGATAAAAGTATAGAACATGAATATTTTCACTATATATGACTATACATTTTCACAAATTTGATACAAGCAGCATGCATCCTTTTAATGATTTGAAAATATTTAAATTATCATGCCATGTTATATTGCTTGCAATTCAAAATACCCCAGGATCAATTGAATAGTATATAATTTACATGTTATGTGTAGAGAGTCAACATCTGTAGCACTGTAATTGAAAAGATATGCCCAGTGGTGTCCAAGGGTGTTCCTGTGGCCATCATTGAGACTCTAGTCAAAAGCCTACATTCCCAATGCCAGATCTCATCAGCACCAGAGGCTATCTTTTAATTAGCATCATGGATGTTAGAAATAACTTTTCATGAGTTCAAGGGGTATAGAGTCCCCCTGAAATGGAAATAAATATCTATGGGATTAAAAGAAGGAAAAAAAAGAATCTAAGGAACAAAATTGCCAAACCCTTTAGTATTACTTGGGAATACAAAATAACAGTATCCTAGGCGTCTGTCACAATTGGAGGCCCAAGGCTGTACTGAAGGCTGTACTGAATCTTGTATGGGTTTTTGCTGAATATATAAAGGGATGTGCGCTCAGACAGGTACCTTGTGCTTAGACTAGGATTCTTTAAATGAGTCTTTTTTCACATCAAGCCTTTTTTTAAAAAAAATATGTATGAGTGTTGTACCTGCATGTATGTAAGGGCACCATGTGCATGCAATGCCCATGGAGGTCCTAGAGAGTGCTAAATCCTCTGGAACTGGAGTAAAAGGATAGTTGTTGGGTGCCATGTGGGTGCTGAGAACTGAACCCAGGTCCTCTGCAGGAGTAGCCAGTGGTCTTAACCTCTGAATCATCCCTCCAGTCCATGCCTTTAGAAAAAAACTGTCAACCAGGCTTGCAATTTAAGCAACACAGTGCTTCTAGCAGTTCCCCACAGAAACGATATGCCCCAGCGATACTCTCAGGTGCATGGGAGTCGGCAGCGACGTTCATTTGCGCTAATTTTCTCTCCCTTCTCTGCTTTGTAGCAAACAGCACATAAGAGCCTCGGCCCTCCCACTGGGTCTGGAGCCACATGCACACATCAGTACATCACAACCTACAGCATCTCCTCCTGCAGACTGTCTCAGCCTAAAAGAACACGCAATATACCTAGCATAAACTCTGAAACCTGGAGTTCCCTGCACTCTAACAGCCACTCAGGGTGGATTCCCATCAGCTCAATTTGTCTTGATCCCACTGTGAAGTCCAATTCTCTGACTGTAGGGAAATATGTCCTTTTGGTCTCAGCCACTGTGATGTCACAGATCAACAGCAGCAGCCTCCCCTGAGCCTTCCTACAGCTTTCCCTCCACACAGTTTCCTTCATCTCCGTGGCTTGGACATATTACTTGTCAAGTGAGAGTTCTGCCCATCTGGTCTCTGTCATATGTAAAGCAAACTCTAAAGCATAATCTGCATGTGGCACGAACCTGCAGCGCTCACAAAGCACCGGAGTCGGGAGACCTGGTTCAGTTACCAGCTCTGAACGGATGCATTTTTGGTGCTTGTCCAATCAACTAGGGATAGGGCAGACACAACTGGCTCCTTGCTTTGATATCTACAAACTGGAAGGGGAGGGCCACACTAACAGTGTGTGCTGTACACTGTGCAGTTGCCTTCAGGCCACGTCTGAATAAAGGGGAAAATACTAAAACAGAAAGAATCCTCTGTCATCTGGGAAGGGAAGCAGAAGCCACTCTGAATACATCACATCATTCAGTACGTTGCTATTCTCTATGAACCAACCACTTTCATTCTTTAAAAAGAGACTGCTCTATGAACAACCTTATACCGTGGCACTCACTTTATGGTGACAGGCAACTATCACCATGGTTTGAAAATATTATTTGGAAAATTCACAAATAAAACATCCA